TTGATCTCCTCCATACCTGCTTCATGCCCTGGAGGACGGGGCTGTGGCCCCCCACACTCTCTAGCAGATCATTACATGAAGGAACCTTTTAAAAACAAGCGCGTCCATGCTCACAGGTGTGCACACAGGTGCTCACACACACAAACTACACCCTTTTTGGCTCCTACCTCAAAGCACACTGTGCTGTCGATCCTACGTGCTGCACAATAATGTTTAATATTTAGTATTTACTGTCATATTCACATAGATCATTGTGATGTTGTTTATTATATTGCTCTCGTTTTCTTCTGCTTGTTTTCTTTTTTCTTTGTCAACAGGAGATTCAAGTCTGTCCTGTGTTTAGCAAGTGAAAATAAAAAAATAATAAAATAAACAATAAAAGGTGATTTACTTTACCAAATAGACCATCCCAGCCTTGCCGTAATGGTCAATTTGGTAAAGTAAATCCGTTGGGCATCTTTTTTCGCCTTTTGCCATCAGAATTATTGTCTAAAGAACCAAACGGGACAAAAAAAAAAAAAAGACACTGACAGCCAACTGAATAAAATACCGTTCTAGTATTTCCAAAGGTGGTTAAACATGCAAACACATGGGCCATTCTGCATGTTAAAATATAAATCTCTAAACTCCCTTCATACACTTTTACATTTAGTTAAAAACAACAACTTGCCTCCCAGAACGTTTCTGACTTATTTAGACATTTTTCCAAAAAAGTATTTAGTTTTCATCTCCCTGTCTTAAGTCAGAAAACATTAACTTCCTCTGCTCCAGAGGCAGACGGGGGAGAACTGAAGCATTTGCAGCACTCGGTCACTTTATGGCTGCAGGCTTTAATAATAATAATAATGGATTGCATTTATCCCCAGCGCCATCCTCCCCTCTGGCCAACACCAGCAGGTGGTAGGTGAAGTGTCTTGCCCAAGGACACAACGACCAAGACAGACAGAGCTGGGGGTCGAACCGGCAACTTTCTGGTTACACGATGAGCGTCCCAACCCCGTGAACCACGATCGCCCCGTCGCTTTAAAGGAAACCGTTTGGTTCACTTCCATCTACAGTTTTCTTCTGGAGTGTCACTGGGTTGCTCTGCATAATTCAATTCAGAATAATACTAATAACACCCGCCCTGTGGAGGGTCATCCTCTGTCTGAGACCAACACCCTCACTTCCCTCTCTGATTGGCTGGCCTTCGTATGCAGAGGGTTTGACCAGGAGGTGGGCGGAGCTTCTGTGCTCAGAGCTGCTGCTGTGGGTCTGAGATAACATATCAGGGTTCATTGCTCAGTGACGTAAAAAAACTGAATCATTTAGAGCGTCCTAAAAAGCTAAACTGCTCACAAAAGAGGCGTGTGCTTTGATCCAGTTTCACAGGAGCCGTTATGGCTGTGCCACTGTGTTCGTGAGTCAGTCTGTGGACGTGAGTCAGTCTGTGGACGTGAGTCAGTCTGTGGACGTGAGTCAGTCTGTGG